AACGGATAAATACTATTTCCTTTTAGTACCAACCATCTTGTTTGTTAAATCACCATGTTCTTCTACTTATCAAATGTAACTTTACTACTCTACAATACTATCAGGATAATAAGTTACTCAATAATAGAGCTTTTAATGCGTCTCTCGTAATCAAAATAGTGTCCACTGGCCCGTTAATCCCCTGCCACAAATAGTAATTTCAAGCCTCGTAATTTTAGACGTAATCAGTGCGATATTAACTGGGTGGATTTGGCTTTTACTGGCTAGAACTAGTTTGAATTAATCGGGCACTTAACGATATTCACGTTTTGTTACGTCAGATGTTTATTAAATGCTAGGATCCAACTCTAGTTTGCTACATTGGCAACCCAGTAAATCAAATGATTAATCCCACCAAATCCCACCCGTTCCAATTGAAAGCATGAAATTCATTTGAAAACCCCTGACTATTTATTTATTTATTTATTGGGCTATCAACATGACATACAGTATTAAACACAAAAAAAAAGACGAGTTACAAAATGAGACCAAGTAATGATTTAATTAAGGATGATAGATGATACCCCTTCCCACCCTTTGAGTCTCAGTAAAGTTGTGGTGCTTTACTAACCTCATATGGACTACTTGAGAGAACCCGAAGAATCACGATGCACTGTTTTGTTTCACTTTTCCACACTCATGCACGTTCACGAACACTTAATGGTAAATAATACACCATTATTACACATTAATAGTCGCCCAAACACGAATTTTAGGAAATAAAACAAAACCGCTAACATGACGCTTCAGATTCCCGCCAAGAAGTCCAAGCCAAAGGTCTCTAGCTAATTGCTCCCACACAAACGATAACCACAGCATTGACAGCATGCATATTATAATAATGTAAGCCACCCAATTAACTAAGCATCGGAAAACTGTATCTATTCTTACTAGATTCCCACCTATTCTATTTTTGACACAGTTACTTTGTTCTTGGCAAATTTTGTTGATGTAGTATTTACGTCTAAATATAGCTATTCAAAAATAGTAAAGAAAAATAAAACCTTGTTCCGAGGCGCTTTTAAGAATTCGATCAATTCGTCTCTAGTCGATTTCCCAGAAGATTTTGTTGTTGTTGAGATTTCGTTGTGAAAACCTTGCGTAAGTATCCAAGTACTTCCGCTTATTTTCTGAATTAGATTTTAATATTTAACAACATCATAATGAGTAATTTTGTTGATTATTATGTGTTCATTCGGACACATTGTTTTAAAGATTAAATTTTTGGTTCCCCGCTAATTTCATTGAAAGAGGAAATTAAAAGATCGAAAATTGAAGATGAAAGGATAGATATTTGAGAATTTTAAAAGCAACACTTACTGAGATACGATTCGATCTCTATTTCCATGAACTCTGAACTAGGTATACCTAGGTAATATTAAAGAAAGATTTCATTGTTCTAATTCTTTAATTAATGAAAGCTTTGCGTTGCCAAATGTCATGTACTTTCTTCTTCAAAATGGATACCTCCTGAGAGTGTCATTGCAGTGTTTTGTGACAAACCAAACACTTACTCGTGCCAAGAAATGGCTTAAATAATAAAAATATAGCTTGTTAAACTTCAAACTAGCTTGTATTTGACTTTCACACAATTTCAGAATTATAACTAAAGTTATTAATATACATGAGGTTCAGTTTGTGAGTTTGATACCAATTTAGCTAGCAGTAATAACTTTCGGTTAAACTTACCTACGCAAAATTTTAACACGAATGCGTACAAATGATTAAAAACTGTGTTTCTCAAACGAATTAATCAATCATTTTTACAATACTGTTTATTTATAAATACATAATCAAAATTGATTCCAAAACATAAGCTTTTGTGCAACCCACGCTCCAAAAGAAAACTAATTAAACAATTATATTACTTCTACATTTTATTTTGATTATCAGCAAGTAGATTAGTTTATTTTTGGTACTGTTGTAAGATTCAAAGGCACAATGCCTATCAATTTGCCACCACATATCTCTACCACAAATACTTTTGTCTTGTCTAGTCTTAACAAACAGTTTTTGCCAACCTATCTTATTATGACCAGGTATAGCTCTTTACAATGCACAAATTAACACCACCAGTGGAATTTGAACCCGCAATCAATCAGATGTGCACAAACTCTAGGGCATTGGTTCCAAAACTTATTTGAGACGCGCCCCCTTTCGACTATACATTCCGCGCCCCAAGAAAGTTCACAGCTTGTTACAATTGGAATAAGGTTCTGTAGTCTACTATTTGGCCACTTTAGGTGTCAGGAACTTGATGCTGTCTGCTAGATAAGTACGGAGTTGAGTTGAGAACCATAGGCTAAATAAAATATACAACATATAAATATCGGTATTCCGGTATGCGGCCCGGGCCACGCGTGCGGACCGAATAATTCAACGTGTATGTTTTGTTACCTCGAGTTCTATCCAGATTGTTTTAGGACGAGTATATTGTATTGTGTGAAGAAATTAAAGCGCACGTGTTGTTGATCAAGCTGATTTATTTGCTTGACATTGTATTTGGATTACAAATGAATCCGTTGAACGCTTTACATTTTGTTTTGTGGGTTTCGTAATAGTGACAGAGTTTTTAACGCTGCTTCTTCTCAGTTATTGTCACGAAGCAGTGGTAGGGTTAATACTGAGACGTGTAAAAGTGCAACTTGCAAAAATAACATTTAATGTAGCTCTGGCTGACTCCCTGTTACCTTTTCAGCATTTTCAAACTTAAACCACTGAACAGCATTTGATGAAACTTTGTATAGAGATAGACTGAGACCCAAGGACGAACGTAAAGAATAGATGATAACACATTTAATATTCATTCAATAATTACGAGTATGATATCGAGTTCCGAATCTCAAAAGCCTTAGAAGATTTATTATAATTATTATTGCCACAAGAAAATCACATTAATTACCTTTTAATAAAGATGTTTATTGCTCAGGATTGTTTATATAAGGCCCATTAAACGAAAGTTAATTAAGGTATTGTTCTTGGTTTATTAAGTCGTAAAACATCCAGTTGGATTGTAATAAACACTCACTGTTACGCATCTTTATTTATATGTGAAAATATTTTCATTTAATAGATCTGTAGTGGTAGTATAAGATTNATAAGAATATTAATCATACACGTGTAACCTCATTTTATAACAATATATAATCGCATATTTTATTGAATAGAAGATCAGTTTGTATCCAGACGTTGTTGTTTGATTTCATCTCTAATACCTCCCGTACATGGCGACCCTGCCTGGGCGCCTCGGGTTCGCGCAAACAGTAATACGACGCGGTTAACTAAATTGAGAGTGGATTTTTTTAACATGTAACTGGTGAGATTTATTAAAGTGAACAATGGATAGATCAGTTGAAGACAATTTCGTGGCCGATTCGGACAGTTATTACAAGTTTATTCCGTTTGAACTAAGTGAAAAAGTTTATACTGTATCATCATGGGCAGCAGCAAATCAAAAGGAGAAGTAATAATCGCCCAGAATGCTGTAGGAGGGTCCAACGATGCTTCAGCGACAGATTTGAAATATCATATGTCCAGGACCAATGTCATTTTAACATGCATCCTGTTGATAATTTTCATGGGCATATTGTATTTATCATACAAATTTTATAAGAAATGCCATTATAACTGGATTACGCGGCATATCAACAGAGCGGCATTGAGAAACTCCATTTTTCGGCGGTCACCGGCTTCAGGAGCGTCTAATGGACCCAATTGTGTGTGCCAGTTTACCAAAAAGCCCCCCCCNAGGAGAAGAAATAATCGCCCAGAATGCTGTAGGAGGGTCCAACGATGCTTCAGCGATAGATTTGAAATATCATATGTCCAGGACCAATGTCATTTTAACATGCATCCTGTTGATAATTTTCATGGGCATATTATATTTATCATACAAATTTTATAAGAAATACCATTAAAACTGAATTTTATAAGAAATGTCTAATGGACCCAATTGTGTGTGCCAGTTTACCAAAAAGCCCCCCCCTGGTGTTGTGTAAAAAGTGTCATTAAGTGCGCGATCCCCAAGTGATAAGTTTTTTTTTCCTTTCTCTTACCCTCGATAAATACGAAACCGACTTAAGCAAGATGATTATGGACTTGAACTCTATAATATGTAATAATTAAAATTATTTACTCTTAGTATTAAAATATTATTAAATACCGTGTGCTCAGGTATGTACTTATTTTAATTTAAACTTCATCATGGTGATAAATTATGGCAATTGTTTTACAATCTTTGTATGGTGAATTAAAAGAGATACGTACTTATTTAATTAAGATAGGCCAAAACAAAACAAAACAAAATCAAACCAACAAATAAAAAATATTTTCTCTTAATAATAGATATTAGTGTGATATTAATAAGGTACCTTAGCCGCCATCCGCCGCCACCGCCTCCGCCTCCCTAGAAATCATATTGTAATTGTATTCTGGGACTAAACTGCTTTGATATGGCAACAATGAAAACTTCTAAGGTTGTTTTGCACCTCCAAACTCATCAACTCGGAAAGCGATCAACACGAGTTACTGTGCGGATAAGTGTGCGTTGTAGTACGGAGTTCCATACAAAGAATAAGTACTGACCGCCTCAAGTTGATACGGTTACGATCCCTTTCCAGGTTGATAAATGTGCGACGTCCTTTATACGATGCTAGTGACATCACTGCTGTTTCTTAATATAATTAGGTATATTATTATTATAAACATGTAGAATTCTACTTACCCAACCTCCGGGTGCACCGGGTGCACCAGGCGCTCCCCCATGGCCTCCAGGCGCTCCGGGTCTTCCCCCATAACCGCCCCCACCGCCTCCATAACCACCTCCACCGCCCCCATATCCACCTCCACCGCCCCCATAACCGGGCCGACCGGGTGCCCCTGGCGCTCCCCCATGGCCTCCAGGTGAACCGGGTGATCCCCCACCATACCAACCGCCTCCTGCCCCTCCTTTNGTAAAAAGTGTCATTAAGTGCGCGATCCCCAAGTGATAAGTTTTTTTTTCCTTTCTCTTACCCTCGATAAATACGAAACCGACTTAAGCAAGATGATTATGGACTTGAACTCTATAATATGTAATAATTAAAATTATTTACTCTTAGTATTAAAATATTATTTACATATTATTAAATACCGTGTGCTCAGGTATGTACTTATTTTAATTTAAACTTCATCATGGTGATAAATTATGGCAATTGTTTTACAATCTTTGTATGGTGAATTAAAAGAGATACGTACTTATTTAATTAAGATAGGCCCAAAGAGGAGACAAGGAGATATTTTGATAAATAAATTAGAGGCGGCTAATAAACTTTATGATAAATATAATAATTGGGTTAATACATATAAAGGTAATGACTCTGAGATATTAAATTATTGTAAGCATATTTTAGCCATATATCAAGAAATTGTGGATTTGTGTCAAAGTGATACGTCGATAAGTGAATCAAGTGTAACCATGTCGACCTTTGACTTAAAAACTGCTTTGAATTTATTGCCCTGTATGACAGACACAGAGGCCAACACAAAACAATTAATTGACAATATAGAATATTATGATTCTTTACTGGGAAATGAAAACTGTAAACAGAATTTAATTAATTTTGTTCTAAAAAGCAGATTGTCACAAGCTGCAAAATTAAGATTGAATTCAAGCTATTTAAATGTAAAAGATTTAATCACGGACATGCAAAATGAACTTTTACCTCGAAAGGCTTCAACTGCAATTTCCACTAAATTAGAACAAATAAAACAAAATAATTTGTCTATATCTGATTTTGGTAGACAATTAACTGAACTTTTTGTGGATCTTACGATTTCCCAAGCCGAAGGTAATTCCAAAAAATATGAAGTTTTAAAACCAATAAACGAAAAAATTGCAGTCAAAAAATTCGCGGATGGCTTGCGAAATCGTAGGCTGAGTACAATAATCGCAGCTAGGAACTTTAGCTCCCTGAAGGACGCGATCCAGGCGGCGCAGGACGAGGACGTGTCGAGTTCATCAAACTCCGGCGAAATCATGGGTATGTCCAAAAATACTAATTTCAATTCTAACTATAGGGGAAGACGGAACAATTTCAGAGGCGCTCGAGGACAATACAATACTCGTTATTTTTCACCTAAAAGTCAAGGACGAGGTTTTTATGGTAATCAACAGCAGCGTGGGAGGAACCATCAGAGTAATTCACCGATGCGAGGACAACATTTCAGAGGTCAGAACAGAGGCTATAGAGGTAATTACCATAGATCTTATTGGCGAAACCAAGGAGTACAGCATCAACATAATGTTAATCTAATAAATGAATCGCAACAAGTGTCACAAAACTTAGAACAAAGTTCATTAGAAAAATCAAATAACACAAATCAAACGTTTTTTCGTGACTAAAAAAGAACCTACTATTATGTCATGCGATAGTGATTTTTTACATCATTTTCACTAAATGGAAAATTAATTTCATTTTTGATCGATTCTGGTGCATCTTTATGCGCTATAAAAGAAAAATGTGTGTTAGAACAAAATATTCCGTTCCATAAAGATTGCGTAACCATAAATGGGCTCGGTGGCAAAGTCCAAGCAATGGGATACGTTTACCTACAGTTGCAAGTCAATGACTCTATAATTAATCATAAGTTTTATGTTTTCAAATCGTTACCAATTTTGTCGAACGGTATAATAGGACGAGACTTTTTAAGAAGATATAGATCAATATTAAACTTTGAGAAAAATACTATGATTTTACGAGATGATTTTAATACGTCAATTACTTTACCGATTTCAAATAAATGTAACGTTTTATTAGAAATTCCCGCACGAAGCGAATCAATTCATTTTATTCAGACAGATTTTCAGGAAGATTGTTTAATATGTTCAGACGAGATTCAAAATGGAGTTTTTTTAGCAAACACTATAGTAAAACCCGTTGACGGTGTTATACCAATAAAAATTCTGTACCCCCAGTGAAAAGGGATCTAAGTCGAAAATGGTGATTTTTGGGAAATCGCATTTGAAGTTAAAAAAAATCCTGCTTCATCGCTATTAGAGATAACTGGGTGAAATATTTTTTAGGTGAAAGGTAATGTTAGATATAATTAGGCAGTGTGTCAGTTTGGGAAATATAGCATGTGGTTTTTACGTAATTAAATAAAAACCAAGTTATATCACCATGCACGACAACTTTACATTCGTGTAAAGTGATGTAATGGGGCATAAATCATTTTACACCACACTGAATTGACCATCCGCTAACAANTAAGAAGATATAGATCAATATTAAACTTTGAGAAAAATACTATGATTTTACGAGATGATTTTAATACGTCGGTTACTTTACCGATTTCAAATAAATGTAACGTTTTATTAGAAATTCCAGCACGAAGCGAATCAATTCATTTTATTCAGACAGATTTTCAGGAAGATTGTTTAATATGTTCAGACGAGATTCAAAATGGAGTTTTTTTAGCAAACACTATAGTAAAACCCGTTGACGGTGTTATACCAATAAAAATTATGAACACAACGGAAAAAGATTTAGTATTACCCAATATTAATATTAATATACATAAACTCAACGAATACAATATTTGCACTTTTGATAAAAATAAAAATAATGCCGATCGGGTTAAACAATTATTTTCTACTATGAAATTTTCTCACATGAACGAAGAGGAACAAAAATCTATAGAAAACTTATGTGCCAAATATGCTGATATTTTTTATTTACCGGGAGATAAATTAAGTACAACTGATGTTTATACACACTCTATATCCTTGAAACCGAACACGACTCCTATTTTTTCAAAACCTTACAGATTGCCACATTCTCAAAAATCTGAAATTCAAAAACAAATAGATAACATGATGAAAGAAGGTATAATAGAACCAAGTAAAAGCGAATGGTCAAGCCCTGTACTATTAGTACCTAAAAAAGTAGATTCTACAGGTAAAAAGAAATGGCGATTGGTAATCGACTACCGAAAATTGAATAATTGTATCGAAAACGACAAATTCCCTTTACCGGATATTACTGAGATTTTAGAGTCATTATCAGGCAGTATTTACTTCAGTCACTTAGATTTACACCAAGGTTATTACAACGTGAAATTAGACGAAAATAGTAGAAAATTTACGGCATTTANTCGTATTTTCAGAAATACTTACATTTACCAATTGTTGTCGGTAAATCCTAAGACTTCCACTTAAATCTTAAGATTAACCATAGTTCGAGCTTTTACAGTAACATACACACTCTATATCCTTGAAACCGAACACGACTCCTATTTTTTCAAAACCTTACAGATTGCCACATTCTCAAAAATCTGAAATTCAAAAACAAATAGATAACATGATGAAAGAAGGTATAATAGAACCAAGTAAAAGCGAATGGTCAAGCCCTGTACTATTAGTATCTAAAAAAGTAGATTCTACAGGTAAAAAGAAATGGCGATTGGTAATCGACTACCGAAAATTGAATAATTGTATCGAAAACGACAAATTCCCTTTACCGGATATTACTGAGATTTTAGAGTCATTATCAGGCAGTATTTACTTCAGTCACTTAGATTTACACCAAGGTGTAATTATTACAACGTGAAATTAGACGAAAATAGTAGAAAATTTACGGCATTTAGTTCGGGACGGTATCCTTCCGTTTGGCCAAATTACTTTTCGCCAAATTTCACTTCGCAAACAACTTATCGCCAAAGTTTCATTTCCCAAATGAACTTTTAGCAACTGTACTTTTTGCAACTAATTCATTTGGTCAAATTATCATTTGGCCAAATTTTACTTGGCAAATGTTTATATCGCAAATGTTTTATGTTGCCAAATATTACATCCCAAATAATTTGTTTGGTCAAATTGATACTTCACATACTTACCCACCGTTACCCACAAATCAAAGTATAAGGCACATGACCATGGTTTTACTTTTCNGTCATTATCAGGCAGTATTTACTTCAGTCACTTAGATTTACACCAAGGTTATTACAACGTGAAATTAGACGAAAATAGTAGAAAATTTACGGCATTTAGTTCGGGACAGTACCAAATGACTAGAATGCCTATGGGCTTAAAAACAAGTCCTAGTTCATTCTCTCGCATGATGAATATTGCATTGTCAGGTTTAAATTACGAAAAATGCCTTATTTATTTAGATGATTTAATTGTTTTTGGACGAAATCTAAATATTCATAATAAAAATCTACAAGACGTATTTGAACGATTAAGAAAAGTTAATTTAAAACTCAATCCAGAAAAATGTGATTTTTTAAAGAAAGAGATATTATATTTAGGACACGTGATATCGAATGAAGGTATATTGCCTGATCCTGAAAAAATTAACACTGTAAAAAATTATCCACGACCAAATAATATTGACGAATTAAAAAGATTTGTTGCATTTGTAAATTACTACAGGAAATTTATTAAAAATTTTGCCGAAATTGCTCATCCGTTAAATGCACTTTTCAAGAAAAATGTACCTTTTATTTGGGACCAAAATTGTCAAAATTCATTTGAAACACTAAGAGAAAAAATCATATCACCACCTGTATTACAGTACCCGGATTTTTCCGAACAAAATCAATTTATTTTACAAACAGATGCATCAAATTATGCTATCGGCGCAATTTTATCAAATAAGGATGGCCGACCAATAGCTTATTCTAGCAGATCTCTTAATAAAGCTGAAAAAAATTACCCTGTTATAGAAAAGGAACTTTTGGCAATAGTGTGGGCGGTTAAATATTTTCGACCATATTTATACGGGAAATATTTTAAAATTCAAACCGATCACAGACCTTTGATTTATCTTTTCAATATGAAAGATCCTTCTAGCCGATTAATGAAATTTAGATTAGCGTTAGAGGAATACAGTTTTGACGTGGAATATATAAAGGGTTCGAACAATGCTGCAGCTGACGCGTTGTCTCGAATATCTTCAAACGAGTTGAAAGAGATGCACGAGAGTATAGTGAATGTTATGACGCGTGCACAAACTAAAAAGTTACAAGATATGTCAAATAATCAATCGGTAGATATAGTACCTTCAGATGATTGGCCTGATCAACCAAAAATCGTGGGGACTAATATCAAACCGAAAGATTCTGTATTACTAATGTTTATTGATATAAAAAATTATAGAAGAATGAAAGAACTTAAACTTATAAGTCATGAAAGTGAAGTATTGTGTTATGTTTCAAGTAAAAAGACAATTTATATTAAATATCTATATTCTCAATCGCGAATATCACGAGCTGAATTTGTGAGAGAATTGGATACATTGTGTAAAAATATAAATGTGGAAGAATTATGTATAATTAAAAATAAAGAAAATGAATATTTTATAGAAAAATTATTAGAAGAAATAAAAAACACAAAGGATAGGTCCGGACCGCGAATATGTATATTAAAAGATGTAGAAAAAATAGATGATAAAGATGAAAAGCGAGTAATTTTGAATGACTTTCATCTCCTACCTAGTAGTGGCCATGCTGGTATGAGAAGAATGTCAAATAATATTAAAAAATATTATTATTGGACGGGTTTAGATAAGGACATTAGAGATTTTGTTAAACGATGTGATAAATGCCAACGACAAAAATATTCTACACCTACTAAAGAACCAATGGTTATAACGACGACCGCTAACTCGGCGTTTGAGAAAATATTTTTAGACCTTGTAGGACCGCTAGAAACGGATAGTGAAAATTATTCTTATATACTTACTTTACAATGTGAATTAAGCAAATATGTTGAAGCTTACCCTTTGGTTTCCAAAAAAACAGATGAAGTTGCGAAAAGTTTTGTCAATAATTTTATCCTTAGATATGGTGTACCCAAGGAGATAGCAACAGATAGAGGTAAGGAATTTTTATCATCAACTTTCCAGGAAATGTGCAAGCTATTAAAAATTAAACAACTGAATTCAACTGCGTATCACCATCAAAGTATCGGTGCATTAGAGGTATCTCACAAAAACTTAAATTCTTTTCTTAGGATACATACCGATAACCATCCAGAAACATGGAGTCAATGGCTACCATTTTGGTGTTTTGCGTATAATACTTCAGTTCACTCAGAAATGCAGTTTACGCCTTACGAGTTAGTATTTGGAAAGAAGTGTATCTTACCTAGTAACTTAAGTAAAGTAATAGAACCTATCTACAATTATGAAAGTTATCCTTATGAATTAAAATACCGTTTGCAAGTTTCACAAAAAGAAGCTAGAGACAATTTACTTAAGACAAAAATTATAAGAAAATCCAATTACGATAAGCATATAAATCCTGTAAAATATAACGTAAACGATTTAGTGTTAGTGAAGAATGAAACAAGTAATAAATTTGATCCATTGTATTTAGGTCCTTTTAAAGTAGTAAAAGTTTCGACACCAAATGTAGAAATCTTAAAGAATGGAAAAGTAGATGTAATTCATATGAATAGAACTAAATTGTATTATTCGTAAAGATATAGGTAAAATTACTTCATAAAGAATGTATTAATTATGATAGTTAATTTATGTGTAAAAAAAAATACATCAGTCTGTAATGTATTTTTTTTCTATTAGAGGGAAGATGTAGTGGTAGTATAAGAATATTAATCATACACGTGTAACCTCATTTTATAACAATATATAATCGCATATTTTATTGAATAGAAGATCAGTTTGTATCCAGACGTTGTTGTTTGATTTCATCTCTAATACCTCCCGTACAGATCGTTTAATTCACG